TAAATTCAATGATACTCATGTTATTTTTATTCATTGATGTTTATAATTTATTCTGTATGTAGTTATCTATCAATAATGAATGAAATAATTACGTTTCTCATTGTTTTTATAATTTGTAGAATTGTTGATAGAAAATAATATAAATGTAATTAATATATAAACATTATTTTTTATTTATTGTTTAATTTAAGAATGAATAGTTTTATATTTCATGTTTCTTGTATTTCTTTTTTTGCTATTACTTATTTGTTTATTTATTTTTGTTATCTTCTTTTATTCATTCAATACTTTTCAAATCATTTTATTACTTTTTCTATTACTTAATCATGTTTCAATTTATATTTCAATTCATTCAATTTATTATTCTCCTTTTTAATTATTTTCTCAATACAATATTCAATTTTTTATCTCAATATGCATTGTAATACTATTTGATTATTATTATACAAGTGTTTATGTCATTTTTATTATCTATTAAAATCTTATTATTATTAAAAGTCTCTATTTATTTAAATGTATATGTTAATATTTATAATATTCGTATTAGTTGTTGTTTGTTAATAGATATTTCATTAAAGCCATAGAAAAGAATTTAATTAATAAAACAGACTAAGAAGAAATGAAAGACATAAAAAGAAGAAAATGTACTTTTAATAGAATATGTGATGAATAATGAAAAAATACATAATTGTATAATACAAAGAATGGAAATATACCATGAGATGAAGATGTATTGTTAAGAAATAATAGAATTGATGATATAGTAATGAAAATAATTAAAATAAAATTTAGAATAGATGAATGAATAATCAAATAATTAAAAATGAAATAAGAAAAGATATAAAGACAAAATACGATAATAATGAATTGACAGTACAAATGGAAGTTAATTATAAACAAATAAATGTCAAGACAATTATTAATAAAGTAAAAATAAGTTGTAATGTTCATAATACTTATATGAGTGATGATAAAAAGGAAAAAGAAATAAAAATGATTAATAAAGAAAGATATAAAAAGTTAAACAAAGTATAATGAATAAAAAAGTAGAAAGAACAAAGAACATGAAAAAATAGTTAACACAAATAATGATAAAAAACTAATAAAGTAGAGAAAAATATATTTCTTTGAAAATAAGAAATAATAAAAATGAAAATAACATGAGAAAATAACATAATAAGTGAAGAGAAATGAATAGAACAATGATGAATAAAAAATAAAATGAATGTAGGAATTAGAAAATTGAGAATATAAAAAGAAAGAAGATAAAGAGTAATAAAATAGAATAAATAATAAAAGATGAAAAGAAATATGAAATAAAAGTGTCTAATTAAATAGTGTAAAATGATTAATATTATTTTATTAATGAAAAATATTTTACTCTTTTTATGTTTATTATTTATGTGTATAATTTCATCATGATGTTTATTATATAATCAATCATATGTGTTATGTTATTATAATATATAATAAAATATAAAATATAAATGAAAATGATATGAATATATGATATAGAATATAAAACAAAAGAATAATAAGAATAAATGATAAATAAAAGGAGAAATGATAATAAATGATATAATAATAAAATCAAAATATAAAATATAAAAATAATATAAATCAAAAGAGAATAAATATAAAATGAAAGTAGATATAAATGATAATAATATAAAAGATGAATAAAGTGAATAAACAAATACATCTAAATAGAAAAGAATAACAATAAGAAAATCTAAATAATATAAACATAAAAATAATAAAATAAGAAAAATATAATAATATATAGATAATAAGAAGAATACAATGATATAAATAATATAAACATAGAAATAAATATATAAAAATACGATAGATAAATAACATATAAAGAAAAGAATAAAAAGAATAAAAATAAATAAATACGATTCATCAAATCATTTATTTCATTAATATTTCATACAAAATGACTACAACTGATTATTTATTTGAATATTTATTTTAGTGTTTATTTGAATATTATGTTATGTGATATTTTTTTCTTATATTGCTATCTATTTGATATGTTGTATATTAGATTTTATCTTTATTTATATTATCTTTAATATAATCATTATTATATTCATGTTTATTCATTCTTCAATTTATTTCATTATTATTTAAATTATAAAATAGTATTAATTTAATCAAAATATCGTTAAAACGTATTATATATTATTTCAATGTTTTAGATAAACATTTTTCTTTATTTCATTTTTTTCTATGTTTTTCATTTATTTGATTTTATATATTCTTCTTTCACAATACTATGTTATTTTGTATTATCATTCATAAAATATTATTGTATTACTCTTATTTCATATATCATTGTCATATTTATCGATATTGTTGTTTTATTCATTTTAAAAATAACAATAAATATATGAAATACTTGTAATATAATATTCATAAATATTTTGAAATGAATATATGATTGTATCAACATATTGATACATTATAACATTAAATATAATTGAAATAATTTGGTAATACACAAATAGAAAATAAGTTGTGTATATAAATAATCATTAATATATTCATTATTCAGTTAGATTTGTTGTACAAAATATATATTGAATTAAGATTATTTTAATTTTCAATTCTGATAAATCATGAATAACATTTGTGTTTTAGTTATTGATGAATTAATAATTGAATATAAATTAATACAGATGTTTTAATATATTATTTAGTATTGTTTTCAATCAGAAACATTCAAATATATTGTATTATAAATAAGATTATCATCAAATCAGAAATATAAGAATAAGAAATATGAATATGATAATAAAATGATAAGTTTAACCAATCATAATATTTTGTTTGTTTGAAATAAAAATACACAACAAGAATAGAATATTTTTAGAGTTGGATGAAAGAATTATGACATTTTAACATTTCATCAAGTCATGAATGAATGATATACAATGATAATATAAATACAAAAATACAAAGAAGGCAAATAAATTTCAATTCAAATTCAAATAATGAATTGACAATAGAGAAATTGAAGTATGTTAGTGTGATATATTTAAAGAGAAGAACTAATTAGAAATAAACAATGATTCTATTTATATTAATTGTTGTAATTAGTAAATGACTAGAAACTGAACAATACAATGAACAAGGAAATAAAGATGATAATAAACGTAAAGATAATATGCTTGTTTCAACAAGAACTACACAACATAAACATGAGAATAAATATAACGATGATGAAAATACACAAAATCAAACATATAATCGGTTGACTAATACCATTCAAAATATTCATAATAATATACATTTGATAGCTGAAACAACAACAACAGAACAAGCACTAAAAGAAGGTGCAGAAACAGTATCACAAGGAAGTACAACAACTGTACAACAAGAACAAGGAAGTAGAGTAACAACACATGGAGATGCAACAGAAACTTTATCTCAACCAGGTTCAGCGTCAGCAGGTGTATCATCAACATCACAACCACAAGTACCATCAGGACAAGGAGATGGAGTGTCATCACAGTCAGGTGGATCAACACAAGCAGAACAAACAACACATTCAATTGAAACATCATCACAAACAAAACCATCAGGAGCGTCAACAACGAGCTCAGAAGGAGGTGCAACAAAAGGAGGTGCAGAAGCAATAACAACTGTACCAGCAGACACAGCACAACAGTCAACACCAACGACATCAACAACAGGAAGTACATCATCAACAACACAATCAAAACCATCAACACCAATAACTCCACCACAAAGTAGTTCAGCAGTAGGAATTACCGAAACAACAACACACCTGGGAGATACACCATCACCAGTAACAACACAACCAGGAGCACAAACAAAACAACCTTCTGAATCAGGTTCACAAACATCATCACCAACCACATCAACTTCAACAACAACTCCAGCAACAAGTACACAAACATCACCATCTGTACCACAAACATCATCACATCCAACAACAGACAACCCACAAACATCACAACCACAAAGTAACACAAACCCTTCAACTATAACACCATCAAAAGATAAGGAAGGTACTTCACAGAAAGATGATTCACAAAAAGAACATCCACAACTAAATCAACCACAACAAAATGAAAAACAAGATAATAAAAATACAACTACTACTGTTAATTCACATGATAAAATTATTGTTAGTTCTGATGATAGTTCTGATATTCATAATAATCTTGATGAGACATCAGGTGTGTTTATGTTTTTGGCTTTTGTTATTCATTTGATATTCTTCTAATAATTGTGTTTCTCTTTTTTTCTTTTTATTTGGTATTCTTCTTTATAAGGTACTAAAAAAAGCAAAGAAATAATGCATCTAAATAAATTACTAATAAAATCAATTAATTAAGTATTAATAGAAATAGCTTCTATTCTTCCTGGCTCAGGGGAGACTAATCCCGTCCCTTCGTCTTCTTCTTCTAGTAGCTCTACGGAGTATGTTTGATTGTGATCTCCGCAGTATTCCATGACATCCATCATGTTTTTTATTACATGGTTTTTAATTTCTTTCTCGATGTCGATCTCAATTTTTAATTCTTTAATTAATTTATTACTTTCTTTATTCATTAATCCATTGATTGAGATTACTACTGGAATTATTTTGACATCTTTTATTTTCTCTATTTTCATTAGCCTATTCTTTAATTCATTATACTTATTTCTTTTCTTCCAATAGGCTCCATTAATATTGTGATCAGCCACAATAGTCATATCAAATAATAGACCAGTTTTATTCTTTTTATCTATTACATATATGTCTGGTCTTTTGTGGTATTGTTATTCACTTTTAGGCATGATTTGTTTGTTCCATATCATTGTGATGTCTTTATATTGGAACACTGTTTCATATGGAGGTTTTATATTGTTTATTTCCAGTGTATTTTCTTATTAATCCCTCCCATATTATAATGCCTATATAGTCATGTTTTTCCATTTGTGATTTTTTATGACTAATACAAGATAGTAGAATGTGTTCTACTGTTGCTATCTTGTCTTTACAAAGTGTTGAGTATTTTAATCTTTCATTTTTCATTATTTTTGATTTTCTATACCCACAAAATATTGCTCCATCTTGCATTTTAGTTAATTGTAGGAATGCATTCTTTTTAATATTGATGGACTTCCATGCTTTCACTGTAGTAGTTTTATCTACTCCTTTTGACTCGAACCATCTTCTGAAGTGTCTACTAATTTGATGACATATCCATTTTTGATGTATTTATCATTAATTTCTTTATTTCTACTACTACTTCTTTTTCTTTTTTCTTTTCTATCCCTTCATTTATTATTTCTTCTATTTTTGTTTCTGGGATTTTATGACCTAGGGCTTTTTTAATTCTATTCCATATTCCCTTCTTACTGTACCATCTCTCTAATATGTTATTTCCTATTTCACTTTCTCTGGTACAGTAGTACATCACTGTTCTTACTATTTCATTAACATATTCATCATTTATATTTATTAATCCTTCACCCATTTCTTATATAATGACATACAACCGATCTTTGGAGTTTCCGGCACCAATGTATTTTGCCTTTCTTATTTATTTTCTTATCTCCAAATCAATTTTATCTAAGTGATTTTCCAATTTACAACTGATGCTGAATATCTGAAGATAGGGATTACTTCAGTGTTTATTCTTGTAATATATCTTCTATTACTACATTCATCAGTGTTTATTTCTTCCATCTTCTGATTCATTTTTTCTTTGATGGTGTTACAATTGAAGGTGTCATCAATTTCGTCGGACTGCCATATTCCTAAATATTTATACAAGTCATCACCTTCAATTACGGGGATGTTTTGTATTCCATTTGGTATTTCCTTAATGTTTTTTAATACCATTCCTGACTTTTTCTCATTCATTTCCATCCCTATTCCACTTATTATTTCTTTAATTTCATTGTGGATTATTCCCATTTCTTCACTACTTTCCGTCATTATTCTCAAATCATCCATATATAAAGTGTGATTTGCTTTTGGGAATTTCTCTTCGATGATTTGGGAAATTACATTCATCTGAATGATGAAGAGTAGATTTGATAATGAGTCATTTGTAAAATTCCTCTATTTAATTTAATATATCCTAGATATTCATTAAATTTATAACCGATGAATATCTTCCATCTAGTCATCATACTTTCAATAATGTTAATGATGACACCCTCTACATTAAAATATTTTAATGTTTCAATTACCCATTCGTGGTTTACTGTGTCATATGCTTTCTTAATGTCATAATATGACTCCACATATTTTGGGTATTTCTCTTCTTTTTGCTGCTTCATCATATAATTATTAATTATTCCTTCTTTAGCAGCTAAAGATTGTAACTTACATCCCAGTTGATTTCTACTAATTTTCAATGATTCATTATTCATGTTAAGTCTTCTGTGAATCTTTTCTTTTAATATGGAGGTAAATACTTTCATAATTACATTTGTACAACTGATATGACGATAATTAGTGACGTCGTTCCTATCACTTTGTGGATTAATAAAGTTCTTCCACTTACCATGTCTAATGGATGTTTTCAGGGAAGTTCAACCATTCGTTAAAGATATTGAGAATGATTTCTCTTGATGATGACATCCTTTTCCAATAATACCCATATATAGTGTCTATTCCTGGTGCTTTCCAGTTACTTATTCTCTTTAAACTGAAATTTAATTCATTTATTGTTATAATGACACTATCATAATTGATATATCTTTCATTCAATATGGTGATTTGTTTTATTTTCCAATTTTCTTTATTTAATATCACCTGTGTTTCATATAACGATTTCCAATATTCTAAAGTAATATCGTTATTTGGGTATATTTCATTTGTTGTTTCTTCCTTATTCTAATTTTCTTGTTAGAATCAAACATGATTTTATTTGTATTGATTCTGATTATTTCTTCCTTATTAAATTTAATTCTTTCTTTTATCATAGTCATTATATATTTTAGGTACTTTATTCTTTCTAGTGCTTTAACTTTTATTCCTTCTTCATCATATTCTTTTAATTTCATGATGCACTTTATTCTCTACAATTTCATTGACCAAATCTTCTAGTCTATTTATTTTCTTTAGGATTTCTTTTATTTCATCAAATTTATCTCTTATTATTTTATTTTGGAGATAGAGGTGCATAACCATTGAAATCCTCTTCATATCATCTTGTAGATAATGCATTCTGCTTCCTGACCATATCCATCTATTATTAATTTCCATTATTAATCGGTCAGCTTCTTTTCTTTGAATGTAGTAATTAATGTTTGAACATTTTTCTACTTTCATTTCTTTTATTTTATTGATGAGAGTGTTAAGATATTCTTCATCAATTTCAGTAGAATTATTCTTTAATATGATGTTTTTTATTATTGAATTACACTCTACTCTTCCTTCTATTATATCATTTACTTTCACTTTAATGTACCGTTTAGTGCTTTCTTTTATTTTATGTGATATTTTAATATATTTAATATATTCTTTTTCATTATTGAGATCAATGTTTGTCACTTTTATTATACTTTCAATTTGTTCCCATCTTAATTTCTTATATAATTTCTTATTCAACCAATTAATTGCAAAACAATACAACACTTCAATTAAATTTCTATTTCTTTGTTTTGTTGTATTTCTTGTCTGATTATCATCTCTTGTTTTTTGACAATCAGTGCTTTGCTTTTCTCTTCGATTTCCACTACTGTCTTTTTCATAGGAGTAGTTTCGTTCATCTCCATCGTTCCCGATGATGCTTTCATCAATACTGGTTGTGTATTTATCACAAGTGTCATCGTTTTCTTCTTCTCTAGTTCCTTCTGTGAAATAAAATTTTCAATATCATCTTGTTGTTTTGATATTATTTGTTTTTGTGCTTCATTTTCTTTTTGTGTGTTGTCTAATTCTTCTCTTGTTATTTCTGCAATTTCTTGGTTTTTAATTGCAATTTCTTGATATTCAGAGATTTGTTTTTCTTTATCTCTTATTTCTTTCTTTAATTCTTCAGTGTTTTTTTCTATCATTTCAATCTTCTTCTCTAGTGTGTTTGTATTTTGTTCTAGTATCTTGTTTCTCTTTTTCAACCTTTCAATTTCTTCTTTCATTCCTTCATTTTCTTTTTCCATCTTCTTTTTATTAGCTTGGATGCTTCGGATTTTTTCTTCTTTATTATTTACTTCTGTGATTTTCTTTCCTTCTATCTCGTTTACTTTTCCTTGTAGTTTTAAATTTCTTTCTTCTAATTTTTCATTTTCTTTCTTCATTTATTCATAATTCGTTTGAATCTTTCTATTTTGGGTTTTCATTTCTGTAATTTCTTCTTCAAATTCTTTTTTAACTATTTCTTTTGCTTTTCTTATCATTTCTTCTGAGATAGCTTGTTCTTCTTCCATTTTTTTCATACTGAGTTCTTTAACTTTTTCTTCTAATTCAGTAATTTGATTTTTCAGAGCAATTATTTCTTCTTTTTCTTTTTCTTCTTCTATCTTTTCTTCTTTATTTTTGGTTTCTTCTTGTACTTTCTTTATACTTTCTGTTTCATTTATTATTCTTGCAATTTTACATCTATCATTCATTTCTTTGATTGGGTTTTGTTTTTAATTTCTGCTTCTATAGCCTTAATGTCTTTTTCCTCCCAATCTTTTGTTTTTTCTTTAAACTCTTCTTTCGTCTTTTCAATTATCTTTTTCTTTTTAATTGAATATACTTCTTGAAGAATATCATACCATTTTTTCTTCTTACCTTCATATTTTTTAAGTATTTCTTCATATTCTCCTTCATTCCATTCACTTGTTATTCTTTTTATTCTTTCTTGTATCTCATTTATTGTTAGCCATTTGTATTTGTTATTTGTATAATCTTTATTATTATTGTATTTACCTTGTTTTTTTATTTGTTTTTCTTTGAGTCTTTTGTCTTCTAAACCCTTTTTCCTTGGTGGATCGTTTACCTTTATTATTATAATTGTTATGCCATTTATTGCTATTGACATTTCTTTTTTTATTGTATGACCTTGGATTTCTATGTCTTGTTTGCTTTTCTTTACAAGACTCTAAGGTTTTACACAATAGCCATGGCATTAAAATTTGTTGTATTTCCTGCATTGGAAAAGGATCTCTATGCATCTAAATAAATTACAAAAATGAAAAAAAGATGCAAAATAATTTGCATCCATAGAATTTTCCATTTATTATATTTTGCTCCTAAAATAAAAATAAAAAAAATATGATAAATATACAATATGTAAATATTTATGTTTATATTTTATAATTATTTGTATTCATTTTGTATGAAATATCAATGGTATAGATGTTTTAATTAATCATATTTATTTTTATTATTTTTATTCTTTTATTTATATGTTATTTATCTATCGTATTTTTATATATTTATTTTTATATTTATTTCTCTGATTATATTATTTATATCATCTGTTTATCTATATATTATTATATTCTTCGTATTTTATTATTTTTATGTTTATATTATTTAGATTTTCTTATTGTTATTCTTTTCTATTTAGATGTATTTGTTTATTCACTTTATTCATCTTTTATATTATTATCATTTATATCTATTTTCATTTTATATTTATTCTCTTTTGATTTATATTAATATTAATTTTATATTTTATATTTTGATTTTATTATTATATCATTTATTATTATTTCTCCTTTTATTTATCATTTATTCTTATTATTCTTTTGTTTTATATTCTATATCATATATTCATATCATTTTCATTTATATTTTATTACATATTATATGTTATAATAATAACATAACACATATGATTGATTATATAATAAACATCATGTTTAAATTATACATATAAACAATAAACATAAAAAATAATAAAATATTTTTCATCAATAAAATAATATTAATTATTTTACACTATTTAATTAGACACTTTTATTTCATATTTCTAATTTTTACAATAAAAATACACTTCATTCTTTTATTATTTTATTACATCTTTGTGATTTATTACTTTTTATCTACTTTATACTTTATACTTTATTTTTATTCTTTTTTCTATTATTTTCTTTTTTCATTGCCAAAATAAACAACAATAACAATAAAAATAATTAAAACAAAAGAAGAATAGAAAATAAAGAAATAATCAAAGAATTGGAATAATAAATAATCAGTAAAAGTGAATATTTATAAAAGAATAACCTTTATATAGAAGATAAAACAAATAGAAATAATAAACGAGCAATGTATTATAAAACAATTTGAAATGATAATCCAAAATATAACAAATAATGAACATAAAATAATAATGAAATAATAACAGAATAAATGATGTAAAGTGAATTAATGTAAAAATACATTATAAACAGTCTTTTCAATTGAATGAAATAGTCTCAAATGAACAAAATGGAGTAGAATAATCAATATTTCATGAAACACAATTTAATACATTTTCATTTTAGATTTAATAAAAAAAAAGAATAAAAGTTGAAATCCAAATAATTCCAATTCCAATAAACCAATTCTATTTTTAATTGAAATTATTAAAATAATTAAAAAACTATAATTAATAGTTTATGAACTATTAATATATAAATAAAATTATTAGTTTTAATTTAAATACAAAACACACCAACACAATGGAAAACCAAGAAAATATCAAAACAGTAACACAAGCAGTTGAAGAGCTTGTTCATTATGCAAACACCGTACAGAGTTAGAAAAGAAACTACAAAAACAAGAATTAAGAATTAGTAGCTTAGAGACTAACATAAAATTAATGTTAACAAAAAACACAATAATGCAAGAGATTTCTAATACTGTTAATGAGAGTGAAGAAGAAATTAGTGAACAACTAAGAAGAATAAAAGAAGATAATGAAAAAACAAGAAAAGAACTTGAAGTACATGAAAGTCAAATAGAAAGCAATACATTAAATATAAAAGTACAGAGGTATTTAATAGAGGAAATGAAGAAAACAAACAATGATTGCACAATTAATGAAGAAGTTATAAAAGAATTGATAAAAGAGGAATTACAAAGAAATATCTTGAGAAGATAAAAGATGAAATAGAAAAGAACAAGAAAGAAAACAGCAATCCACCCGACAACAATCCAATAGAAGAACAACCCTACAACACTTTAGCAAAACAACCACGCAATGTTGCAATAAAAGAACAACCACACATTGTTGCAATTATTTCTCCAATAGAAAGAACACTTGATAAATATATAAAACAAATAGAAGAATGGACAAATAGAAAAATATCAAATATAATATTTGATTCAGATAAAGATGATTGGAATAAAAATACATCAGTATTTGATCAAAGAATAAGGAATAAAGAATATATAATAATTATTATTGAAGATGAAGAAGGAAATAAATTTGGAGGATATGTTAATGAGAAAATTAATGAAGATGGTTGGATATATGATTCAAACTCATTTTTATTTTCATTAAAATCAAAAGGAAGAATGAAAGGAATGATGAAATTTGATATTAAAATACCACAAAATGCATTTTGTTTATTTAATCAATCAGATGATCGTCTGTTTGAATTTGGATTTTTAGATGATATTTGTGTTTGTAAAGAAAATAATAAAACACAATCATATTGTAATCAATATTCATTTGAATATAAAGGAATATCAAATGCACTTTGTGGAAAACAACATCCAAATCATTTCACACCAAAACGAATCATAATAATAGTAATTGAAATGATCCAATCTTGATTAATTGAAAATGAACTAAAAAAGAATAAAAAACAAATTAATGAAGAATATGAACATTTCATCTGCCAATGAATGAAATGGTGAATTAAAAATGGATATAATTCAATGTTGATTTATTTTATTTCATTTAATGAAATTTTCACACCCAACGTGTTTTTAATAAATAAGAAAAGAAATAAGAATAAAAGAGAAATAAGATGAAATGAATAAACAATTTATTTGTATCATTTCATTGAATTAATTCATTATGAATAAAATGAATAAGACAATAGAAATAAGAATAATAAGAAACAAATAAAGAAAAGATAAAATACATCAACATATTTATTTTAATTATTTATTATTTCTTTATTTTATTTATCTTTCTTATTCATTCTTATTTTATTTCTTTATTCTATTATTTTTCATTAATCTATTTTATTAAATGAAAATGAATGAGAAATGAATAATGAAAATCAGAAACAAATACAAACAATAATAAATAATCAAATAATGAAATATCAGTTATTATTTAATTATGATGCTGTAATTTGTGAGATCTTATTCATTCAAGACTAATTAGTTGATAATTATTAAAATTTAATATAAGTGAATATTATGAAATAATGATTATGAATGTTGTATTATTGCATAATATTTATATGGTATAATATTGGTTATTTAATATGATGAAGTATTGATTAACAAGATGGAAGTATATTTAATAATAATCATTATAAACTACAAATAGATTAATTGTATCAAGAAAAAGTGATTGATAAGTGTATATTGATAATGAAGAAGAAACATAAATAATGTGTTATTGACATATTCTTCTTAAAACAACAATATAAAGAATGAAACATTTTAATAATCATTAAAATCAAATAATAATTTAAATGATTCTTCATTTAATTTGTTAATGTTTGAAAATACATTAAAATGAAAGAAATAAAACATGATGAAGAAAATGAAACATTCATTACTCAATAGATGAAATACTAAATATTAAGTAATTCATGATTTAATTCTTTTTTCTTTTATTCATCATCTTTCTATTTTTGTTTTATAATTTCTTCTTTGATATTCTTTTATTATTCATCATCTTTTTCCTTTCTTTTTATTAGTTTTTCTATTTCTTCTTCTTTTTCTTCTTCTATTTTAATGTAAATGTTTATTTATTTGTTTGTTATTTTATTGTATTTCTTATTTATTGATTAATTATATAATTATTCAATTCATTTTATTTAATAAATACTTCATAATGAATGAATTATAATAATTGGTGTGATTTATTTGAACTTGAATCATATTTAAATAATGTTGTAATTCGTATTTTAGTTATTATTATGATAATAAAACAATGTTATTAATAAATAATATCAATTAAAATAACAAAGTTAGAGTGAATGTAGACAGAAGAATGAAAATACTTGAAGCATTATCAATATTATGTTGTTCATTTTGTTCATCATGGTTATTATTTGATTTTTCATTCATTTTATTTTCAGAATTAGTATTTGTGGTATTATTTTGTTTATCATTTGAAGTTGTTTGTTGTTTTTCATTTGAATTATTCTTTGTATTATCTGAAGTTCCTGTTTCACTATTATTCTTTTCATCTTTGTCATTATTTGTTTTTGTATCTTTTTCATCTGGGGTTGTTTCATTTTTTGGTTTTACTTTTTCTTCTTTTTTTCCTTCTTCTCCTTTGTTATTATTGTTTGTTGCTGGTTCACCATTTCCATCTGTTGTTGCACCTTTATTGTTTTGCTCTTTTCCTTGTTCATTAGTTGAGTCATTCGTTCCTTTGTCATGTTGTTCATCTTGCTTTTGTCCTTCTTCTCCTCCAGCTCCACTTGTTCCTGTTTCTTGTTCATTGTTACCATGAGTTGCTTCATTTTTGTCTCCTCCTTCAGTGGTGCTTGTTGATGCTTTTGGATTTTGTCCATCTGTGTTACTTGTTCCATCTGTTCCTTCTCCAGTTGTTGACTCTGTTTTTTGCTTTGTTTCACTTGGTGATTTTTGTTTTACCTGTATTATCTTCTCCATTTGAATTGGGTTTATTTGTCTCTTTTCCTGTATTACTTGCTCCACTTTCTGCTCCTTGTCCTGTTGTTGAATCATGTTCTTGTCCTTTCTCTCCTGTCGTATTTGGTGTTACTGGTTTTTGTTCAGCTTGAGGTTGTGACACTGGACTTTTCTCTTGTCCTGTTGCACCTTTTGTGTTTTGTTCATTTGGTGATGGTGTATTCTTCTTCTGGATTTTTATCTGTTTTACTTTTTGAGTTTGTTGTGTCTGTAGCTTGTCCTGATGGATTTGTTGATGTGGTTATTCCTCCTGTTCCAGTATTTATCGTTTGTGATGACACATCCTTTACACCTGTTGGTGTTTCTTCTGGTTCTTTTGTTACTTCACCTTTTAATTGTACTTTATGTAGATTAAACATTCTTTTGTGTTGGTTTGATTGTATTTGTGGGTGTATTATTTCTTTATTTCTTTCTTCTTGATTGTTAATACTCTCTGTTGCATTAGTAATTACAATAATCAATAGAAATATAAACATTGAATGAAATGTATGTAAGTTTTTCTCTTTAAATATACTCTCTTCTTTTCATTATTATCTTTTATTTTTATTTTATTTTATAATGACTCAATCATTTCATTATTCAATTTCATTGTGTTGATGTATTGTTGTATTTTGAAATTTAACAATAAATAGAATGAAATGAAATATTAAATTAAAATAAAATTCATTTTTGTAATTTAATCAACAAAATTAAATAAACATTCAATTTAATAAATAAATCATAAACAATAACAATAACAATGAAATGAATAATAATTTCAATTCATAATTCAAATCATTATTATTTTAAGAATAAATTCATCATTTATTGTTTGTTTATTTTAATTTGTTTCTTATTCTAATTTTATCATAAAATGATTCAAATGAATAAAACAAGAATATGAATAAATAGTAATAACATGAACAAATATTTATTTAGTCTTATTAGAATTTATTATTTGATGAATATATTAATTATTATCAACATTTTTGTATTAAAACTCAAACACATAATTTGTTGATATTAATTTATTTGGTTTTGTGTTTCAAGTCAAATATGATAATGTAAATATAAAATGACACAGACTATAAAACAAAGTTATAAATATAACAATAAAATATATCCTCTTCTTGAAATTCCTGCTTCGACATTTAACATTCCATATTTGATAGAAATGCATCTCTTAATATCTGATACTAATGGAAATGTCAACTTTCATACTCATCATTTACTTTTATCTGCTTCACACCATGCTTGATGACAATAAATGGAATATACACTCACTCCATTAACTTCACAGTTGATTTCTTTCATCTGTCCTTCAAGTTCACTATATCCAATCATTTCTGTTGGATAAACAAATGTCAAATCAAAATTCTAAAATAATGATACAAATTAAAGAAGAAGAAACAATTAATATTGATAATACAAATGTCAATAGAAATTATGATAAATTTTAATTATAAAATTATGACATTTTTTCTTATTTGATGTTATATTTCATTTATCATTATTCTCTTGTATTTTATCGTTAATTTCATTACTATTATTATTTTTCTTCGTTCTTTTGTTCTTTATTATTATCATTCTATATTCTTTAATATCATAACAACATTATTATTATTCATAAAATAAATTCTATGTATTATTTCCATTTACTCTGTAAATATATTCATATCATATTCATCATTGATTTGTTGAAATATCTTTATAAATTAATATAACAACTATCCAAATTCATCATTTTAATGTCGTACAAACATTCGAGAAATTGATGATTAATGATACTGAATCATTCTTATTCTTTATTTAAATTCTCTGCTAATACAATATTCAAATAACATGAACAATGAAATGTTACTCTTTGAACCATCCAAGAAGAACGATAAGAAATATAACCATTTAATATAATAAAATCGAACTTTGTTGATTCTTTTATCATTTCTTTTGAATACTTTTTAATTTTGAACTATTAAATAAAATAATCCTTTAATTATTACAAAGATAATCAAGGTTATTATCATAATCATTTTGTCATTTCTTTGTTGGACTCTTAAGTCATGAATATTTCATTGTTAATAAATCAATACATTGTTGGTTTTATATTTGTGAATGAATGTACTTAATTTATTGTATTTTCTAAATCAAACACTGATTCTTGATGATTATTTTGAAACAAAAAAAAGAAATAGATGATAAAATTCAATGAATAATGAGATATGGATATAACAAAATTACACAAAAAGAATTTGAAGATGTATTAATGATTGATAAGAAGCAACAAATAATGATAAGTAAACAAATAATCAATATGAATAAATAATATTGTCGAATATACCATTATGTTGTTTCATTTCAATTAAAACATAATGACTACAAATCAAATAATTTGAATAACTCGAATTTATTGGAATGAAAAATATATTAGATTGTCTTTATAAACAATTGTATTTAAATGGTATATTCTTTAAGTGATGAATAAGTAAAATACAATTATTTCTTTTTATTATTTCCTTTCAAATACAACAAATATTTCAAATGAAACTCATTCATTGGATTGGAAAAATTAAGAAAATGTGTAATGTGAATGTTTAGTA